ATGCCGCAATCCCTTCTCCTCCATTCTCCTCTCGGGATCTTGGGCACTCACGCACATGCGCCCAGCGTGAGTTTAAGCCACTGGGTATGGGACTTGAACCGTAGTCAACTACATGGGAGTCCAGCGACATAGCCATTACACCAACTGCTGGTCCCCTTCATTTTCTTTTTAAAATTTGCTATAGGGCATGTGTGCTCTCCAGAGAAAGACAGAGAAGTGAAGAAAAAAAAAAAAAACAAACCCAGAGTGTTGGCCACACTACAATCCCTTCTCTGTTCTCCTGTCTGGATTTTGGGCATGCACATGTGCCCAGTGTGTTTTTTCAGCCTCTGGGTCTGGGACTTGAACCTTGTAGTCAGCCATATGGGATCCAGCTGCCTTAAGCACCATGCCACTGGCTGGCCCCACCAGGCTTATTGCTAAGCTTCCAGACAATCACCCTTTTGTGCCATACCCTCCATCCCGTATGGAGTGAACTGCACTTCCTCAGGCCCTCTTTGCCCTCCCACCCCTCTGTGCACTCTGTGTCTAGAATTCTCTTTCCTGCTGGCCTTTGTCCGTCACTACTCCCCATCCTCCTCTAGCTCTCAGCTCAGATGTCGCCCCCTCTTGAAAGCCCTCCTGGATTCCCCTGGTAGGCTCAGGTGCTCCTTGGCTCTCCCATTCCAGCCCTGGCTATTCTAGGTGAGCACTGTCTGGGGACAGGTCTGTCCCCGTCATCGGACTGGGCCTGGGAGGGCAGGGCCGGGGCCGTCTTGGCCAATGGGTCCTGACACTGCCCGGCAGAGGCTGGGCACCAGCAGGAACAGGGAGTGTCGGTTGGGTAGAAGGCTGTGGGCTCCCTAAGCTGCTGTGATTCAGACTCATCCCTCTCGCTCGTCCAGGTCTCTAATTCTGATTTTCTCCTCTAGAAAGACCCTCAGCAGGCCCTCAAGGAGCTGGCTAAGATGTGCATCCTGGCCGACTGCACGCTGGTCCTCGCCTGGAGGTGGGATCGGGCTTCCTCCTGCCTCGTTCGGGCTCTAGCCCGAGATCTGTGCCCTCGGCCCTTCACGAACGGCCTGTGGGAGCCCGGTTCGGGAACTGCCTGTCTCTGGCCTCGGTGTCCTCATCTGTAACGTGGGGTTGGGCAGCTTTTCCCTAGGGCTGCAGGCCAAAGGCAGGGGAGACATCTGCTCCTCAGAACCATACCCAGGCACTGACAGACGGAATGATCGAGACCCATGTCAGTTTCTGTCTTTAAAGCTCTTTGTTCATGATCATTTTCTTTCGTGCTGGAAGGCGCATGTGCATGAGCGAGCGAGAACTACTAGTGGGCCTGGCCATGCTGCCGCCCTTTCCTCTCCAGTTCTCCGTTCCGCTAGGGCCCTGTCATCTCCCGCACACACCTGGCGTCTTTCTCAAGGTGCTGCTACTGGGACTTGAACCCTGGCTGGCCATGAGGGATTCGGTTTCCTTTCCACAGCCTGAAAAAGTTCAGTTTTTAAGTCTAAGCTTCTAGGGGCTGGCAGGTGGTACGGTGGTTAAGGCGCTGCGCTCCCATGTGGCCGACAGTGGTTTAGTCCAGGGCCTGGTGGTTGCTTTCGCACTTCCCCTTGCTCTGGTGAGCACGTACCCTTCAACAAACTTAAAAAATAATCATCATAATAAATTATATATATCACTGCAATCCCCTTTCCTTGACTTTCCTCTTGGGATTTTGGACACACACATTCACATACTTGGCATTAGTTTCAAACTGCCGAGTCTGGGACTTGAACTGCAGTTGGTCGTGTGGTAGTCCAGCAACATAACTGTTTTACTATCTGCTGGTCCTAAAATAAATATTTTTTAAAGAACTATTTAATTTACTTACTTAATTAATTTTTAATTTGACCAGAGTGGGACAGAGTGAGAGAGCTAGAGGGAACGTGAGAAAGCAAATCTCCAAATCTGGGACTCGGACCACATTAGGTCATGTGGAAGTCCAGTGTCCTTAACCACCATGCCACCTGCTGGCCCCATCAAAATAAATATATATGTTTTTAAATTAAGCTTAAAAAAAACTTATTAATTTTTAAATTATTTTATTTAACTTTACTTATTTACTTATTTTAATTTGCCCAGAGAGGGACAGAGCACGAGAGAGAGAGAGAAAGGAAGCTACCAGGTCTGGGGCCTGAACCGTGGTCATCATGTGGGAGTCCAGTGCTCTTAACCACCACGACACCTGCCAGCCCCAATTTTATTTTTATTTTATTTATTTATTATTTTTTGCTATAGGGCACATGGGCTTGCCAGAAAGACAGAGAGAGACAGACAGAAAGCGAGAAATCACCCCCCGGGAGAATGGCCACGCCGCAATCCCTTATCCTCCATCCTCCTCTCAGGATCTTAGGCATGCACGCACACAAGCCTGGCATGAATTTAAGCCACCGGGTCCGGGATGTGAACCGCAGTCAACTATGTGGGAGTCCAGCGACACAGCCATTGTGCTAACTGCTGGTCCCTTGTTTATTTTTTATAGAATTAATTTTATTTGGGACCAGCAGATGGCATAATGGTTAAGTCACTGGACTCCCACGTAGTCAACCGTGATTCAAGTCCCAGAGCGGGTGGCTTAAACTCATACCGGGCACGTGTGCGTGCGTGCCCAAGATCTGGAGAGGAGAATGGAGGAGAAGGGATTGCAGCGTGGTCATCCCCCCTGGGGGGTGATTTCTCACTTTCTGTCTCTCAGTCTCTCTGTCTTTCTGGTAACTGCATGCACCCTATAGTGAAAACCTCTCAATAACAACAGAAAAGAATGATTTTTATTTAACTTTTTTTAATTTGACCAGTGAAGAACAGACAAAGAGAGAGACAGAAACTGAGAAAGCAAGCCGCTGGGTCAGGGACTCAAACCACAGTTGGCCATGTGGGAGTTAAGCTCCCTTAACCACCACGCCACCTACTGGCCCAATTTTATTTATTATTATAAATATTATTATTATTTAATTCACCAAAGAAATGAAAGAGAGAGAGAGAAAGAATGAGAAAACAAGCCACCAGGTCTAAGACTTGAACTGCAGTTGGCCATGTGGGAGTCCAGCGCCTTAACCACTAAGCCACCTGCTGGCCCCAAAAATGTTTTCTTATTGCATTAGTGGCTGCTGCGAATAATTCAGCTCTTTGTGCCATAGCTTCTCTCTCTCTCTCTCTCTTTTTTTTAATGTTTTTACCATATGGCATGTGTGATTGCTGGAGAGAGACAGGAAGAGGGAAGGTGAGAAATCACCCCCTAAGGGGGAATGGCCACTCCAAAATCTCTTCTCCATTCTCCTGGGATTTGGGGCACACATGCCCATTCACTGGCATGATTTATCAAGCCTCCAGGTCCAGGACTCGAACCATGGTCAGCCATGTGAGAGTTCAGCCCCTGACCACTGTCTCACTTGCTGGCCCCATGTAGCTTTTCTTTTTTTGCTTTGGAGAAGTTTTTGCTATAGGGTGCATGTGCTCACCAGGAAGACAGAGAGACAGCGAGAAATCACCCCCCGGGGGGAATGGCCACTCCGCAGTCCCTTCTCCTCCATTCTCCTCTTGGGATCTTGGGCACGCACGCATGCACACGTGCCTGGTGTGAGTTTAAGCCACCAGGTCTGGGACTCGAACTGCAGTTGAGTACATGGGAGTCTCGCAACATAGCCATTACGCCAACTGCTGGTCCTGTCATTTAGCTGTTCTTTTGAAGGTGTGCTATGTAACCTGCAAAAGCAGGATTAGCAGGTGGCGTGGTGGTTAAGGGTGCTGGACTCCCAGGTGGCCGTGTGGTTCGAGTGACGGACCTGGTGGCTTGCTTTCTCACTTTACTTCTCTCTCTCTCACTCTGTCCCTCTCTGGTCAAAAAATTAAATAAATAAAGTAAAAGAAAATAATTCTTAAAAAAAAAAAAAACCAACCTGCAGAAGCTCCATTTGTCTCGGTGGTGGGATGCTAAAGGTTCCAGGAGACTGGGGAGAATGTTTTCCAGGCTTCCTTCCTCTTTTTTTTTTTTTTTGGTTTTTTTTTTTTTTTTTTTTTTTTTTTTGGATATAGGGCACGTGTGCTTACTAGAAAGACAGAGAGAGAGACAGAGAGACAGAAAGTGGGAAATCATCCTCCAGAGGGATGGTCATGCCACAATCCCTTCTCCTCCATTCTTCCCTTGGGATCTTGGACACACACGCACATGTGCCCAGCATGTTTTAGCCACCAGGTCCGGGATTCGAACTGCGGTCGACTACATGGGAAACAGTGACATAGCCATTATGCCAACTGCTGGTCCCTAGAAACTCAATTTCTCTTAACACTATAGTCATCTTAGGTAGGGACTGACCTTGGGATCTGTGATAGTTAGAAGTGAAGGCTCTAGATAAGGCTAATCAGGTTTAAATTCCAGTTCTACCACTTGCAAGCCAAATATCCTTGAAAAAGTTAGCTAACCTTGCTGAGATTCAACTTCATCAACTGTAGAATAGCAACAAAAATTGTACCTACTTAATATTGTTATTGGAATGAGATAAAACAATAATGTAAAATATTTTACAACACTGCCTGTCCATACTGAATAAATGGTGGCCATTAGCATTTCTCTAATCATAAGGAAAGAGATTGCTTTAGAAGTTGATATACTTCTCTTGATGGGCATGTTAATAAACGCTTCAATTCCCAGGTACTTGGACTAAACTAAGAGTCATACAGGCCTCATCTTTCCAGGGAGAAAGTATGCATCTTTGACTAAGGTGTCTCTGTCTCTAACTTTCTGGCATTAGATGGCACTCAGAAATCATTTTCCTCACATATTAAAAGTGTTTGAAACATACTAGCAATCCCCAAAATATTGGATGCCCCCTCATTTCTTCATTTACTCCTATTTACAATCAAATAGAAGTGAAAAGACATCTCTACATAAAATGGAACTGGAAATAGAAAGCAACACCTGCTGAATGAATGGTTCAGGTGGAAAGCTTCTAAGATCCCAGAGGAGGAAATGATTTCAGGGTGAGGCACTCAAGAAATGAATTGGCAATTATCAAGGAAATTTAGTCTGAGGAACCAGCTGAAAAAGATACTTTAGGGTTGGGCCCCATTTTCCCTCAATTACCTGATAGCCGAAAATGAATTTGGGCTTTTTGTTTGAAATGTTCTGAGAGTAGAAAGTATGTCCCCATAATTTCCCCATATATCTTCAACCATTTAGTCTTGATTTCCTGCTGGTTAAAATGGTGTTAACTAACCCTGTTTTCAGGCCACTGAGCTGAAATTCTGTACCATTTATATCTTCACAGAACTTTCAGTTCTTCAAAGACAAGTTCTTTACAAATAAAAGAAAGTTCACCCTTTTAATGATTATACGAATTAACAAGGAAGGGAAATTATTCATGGCTGTGGTAATGGTTAGTCAATGTGAGGCCAACCCTATTGCATTTCATTAGAAATTATTCTGCTGAAAAGAGGTAACCTGCTATGTTAAAGAAGAGAATAGTTGAATTGGAAGAGTATTTTATAATCATTCCACTTAAAGAGTTTGATATCACTAGCATATTAACTTTTCCCCTTAAATTATTAAAGATTAAATGAGAGAAACTCAAAAGTTGGGAAAGAATTTTCTCTCTTCCAGAAAAATGATGGCAGACTGGAAAAGGATAGCTTTTCATTTGTGAACTAGAAGAAAAGAAGAGAAAAGAAATGGAACAAAATAATTGAAGGCTCTCAGCCCAATAATTAAGGCTATTAAGTAGATAAAGTCTTTAATAAATTAGAGAACTTAATTATAATTTGTAATGTCCTAACCAATTCAGAACACCTGTTGTGAGGCTTTTTTGGTATAGTTTTTTTAATTGGATTGCTATTGTATGTTTGAGAAAATATAAAAACCATTCATTGCACATTTGTCTCTAATGTGCTTTTATAAAACTTTTGTTATGATAGTAGAAAATAGTCATTAATCACAAAATATACAGAAAGGGGATAAAGTTTCCTTTTTATAGCAGTTGCCAATGTATTCTTAAGTTGTTTTCAGTAATAATTTTTATGGCTTAAACATTAGTTATTTTGTAATTTTGTGCAATGCTTTCTACAGAAACTCACTATTCTCCTGAAGCTGTTCTTTTGAAGGTGTGCTATGTAACCTGCAAAAGCAGGATTAGCAGGTGGCGTGGTGGTTAAGGGTGCTGGACTCCCAGGTGGCCGTGTGGTTCGAGTGACGGACCTGGTGGCTTGCTTTCTCACTTTACTTCTCTCTCTCTCACTCTGTCCCTCTCTGGTCAAAAAATTAAATAAATAAAGTAAAAGAAAATAATTCTTAAAAAAAAAAAAACCAACCTGCAGAAGCTCCATTTGTCTCGGTGGTGGGATGCTAAAGGTTCCAGGAGACTGGGGAGAATGTTTTCCAGGCTTCCTTCCTCTTTTTTTTTTTTTTGAGTTTTTTATTTTTTTTTGCTATAGGGTGCGTGCGCTCGCCAGACAGAGAGAGACATAGAGACAGAAAGAGACATAGAGACAGAAAGCGAGGGGGGATGGTCATGCCGCAATCCCTTCTCCTCCATTCTCCTCTCAGGATCTTGGGCACGCACGCACACGCGCCCGGCGTGAGTTTTAAGCCACCGGGTCCGAGACGCGAACCGTGGTCAACTACGTGAGAGTCCAGCGACATAGCCATTACGCTAACTGCTGGTTCCCCAGGCTTCCTTCCTCTTGAACCCAGAGCAAATTCACAGGCACTGACTTTCCTCCGGGAAGAGCTGACATTTCTTGAACAGGCTTCTGAGCACCGGTCAAGGCTCCGAGCACTTCCAGAGCTTTGACTCCCTAATCTTCAGAATTCCACTGCCCACCCCATTTTACAGATAAGGGAACCTCTGAGAGGTCCGATCACTGGCCCAGGTTCAGCTAGGCGGAAGTGTGGTCAGGTTCTGAGCTCCAGCCCTTAGCCAGAGAAGGTGTATAAAGATGTACCAGCAGGATCTCCAGCCAGGGTAGACTGGAGGACGCCTGACAACTTTTTCTTTTTTTCTTTTATCTTTTATCTTTTTTTGTGCCATAAGGTGCATGTCCTCGCCAGAGAGAGAGACAGAGAGAGGGAAAGTGAGAAATCACCCCCTAGGAGGGATGGCTACACTGCAATCCCTTCTCCTCCATTCTCTTAGGATTTGGGGCATGCATGTACACATCCTCGGTGTGATTTTTAAGCCGCTGGGTTTTCTATATGTGCAAGGACTTCAAAGAGTTTATGGGGGAGCTGGCAGGTGGCATGGTGGTTAAGGGTGCTGGATCCCCACATGGCCAACCACAGTTCAAGTCCCAGACCTGGTGACTTGCTTTCTTACTTTCCCTGTCTTTCTCTCTTGCTCTGTCCCTCTCTGGTCAAATCAAAATGAAATAAATGAATGAATACATAAATAAAAGTTAAAGAAAATCTTTAAAAGAAAGTTTATGGTTTATGGAAAATTAGAATTGAAGTGTGAGCTTATTTTGGTTAATTAAAAAAGATATCCATGCATACATTTTTGGGATATGCATTTTCCACATTTTGAAGACTCCACATTATAATTCAGAATTTTAATTTTTTTAACTTTAATTCATTCCATTTTTCTTTTTTTTTGTTTTAAGTTTTTGCCATAGGGCGTGTGTGCTCAGAAAGAGAGAAACAAAGGGAAGGTGAGAAGTCACCCCTTGGGGGATGGCCACCCTACACAATCCCTTCTCCTTCAGTCTCCTCCCAGGATTTTGAGCAACGCGCGCGTGCCGAGTGATTTTCAAGCAGCCAGGTTTGGGGCTCGGGTTGGTCATGTGGGAGTTCAGTGCCATAACATCAGCGGGCCTCCTTTTTTTTTTATTTTCTTTTTAGTTTTTTGCTACAGGGCGTGTGTGCTTGCCAGAGAGACAAAGCCAGAAATCAATCCCCGGGCATGGCAGTACCTTCTCCATTCTCCTCTTGGGATTGTGGGCAAGTACGCATCTGGTGTGATTTTCAAGCCTCCAGGTCCAGGACTCAGACCATGGTCGGCCGTGTGGGAATCCAGTGCCTTTCCTTCATCGACCTGATACACCACCTTCTGGCCCTCAAAAAAGTTACTGCAACTGCCAGAGGGCGTGTGTGTTCACCAGACGCAGAGGGAGAGAGCACCCCCACATCGGGCGCAGTCCCACCGTAACCCCTTATCTTCCATGTCTTCATCCCGTTGAGATTTTAGGCACGTGTGCACACATGCTCGGATGTTTTTCAAGCCACCAGGTCCAGAAGGTCCAGAATTCAAACTGCACAGCCGGCATGTGGGGTCTGGCTCCCTTAACCACTATGCTACAGGGCTGGCCTTATTTTTAAAATTTTAAAAAACGTTTACTGGGTGGGCCAGCAGGTGGCATGGTGGTTAAAGGTTCTGGATTCCCACATGGCTGACCATGGTTCAAGGCCCGGACCTGGCAGCTTGCTCTCTCGCTTTCTCTCTCTCTCTCTCTGTCCCTCTCTGGTCAAATTGAAGTAAGAAAATGAATAAATAAATAAGTAAAGTTAAATGAAATAATTCTTAAAAAAAATAGTTTACTGGGCTAGCAAGGTGGCATGGTGGTTAAGATAGCTGGATCCCACTTGGCTGGCTGGTTTAGGGGACATGCTGTGTGTGCGCATGTGTGCCCAAAATTCCAAGAGGAGAACCGAGAAGGGATTTTGGCGTGGCCCTCTAAGGGGCTTTCTCACTTTCTCCCTCTCTAGCTCTCCAGTGACTGCATGTGCCCTCCAGCCAATCGGGGGGCGAAAAAAAGGCAAGCAGAGACAAAGAGACAGGGACAGGGAGACGGGGACCCTCAACAGTCTTCGTGCTGCGACCCACCCCAGCCTTTCCCGGCTGGGATCACAGGGCATGTCTGGTGCACACAGGGAGATCTCAGGACACGACACGATCCCAGGACCTTCCCATGTGGGTCCAGTGGTTACCAGTGGGCTTCCACCTCACCTTAGAGTTTGGGAGTTTTAGCTTCAGCAGTTACTGCTACGGTAATGAAGCCCATCTAAAACCTTTCACCCCCAACCTGGCTGACACATGTCCTGTCACCCCAGCCCCGAGGAAGCCGGGCGGTACCTGGAGACCTACAAGGCCTATGAGCAGAAGCCGGCAGACCTCCTGATGGAGAAGCTGGAGCAAGACTTCCTTTCCCGGGTGAGCCCCTCGCCTCCCTCCCTGCGCTGCCCTGCCTGGGCCCCCCTTAACTCCTGGGCGCTGGAGCTTTAGTTCTGATCTCAGGGATATCCGTCCATCCCCAGTCCCTCCTAACAAATGGCAGCTAGAGGGGTCTTAAGCATAAACCTGATCCTGCCCTCTGCAGCTCATAATCCTCCCATGGCTCCCCAGTGCTGAGGAAAAGCCCAGTCTCGTCACCATTCTCGGGGGACCTACCTGGCACAGCAGCCCCGCCCCAGGCCTGCCTGTCTCCGCCAAACGTCTGCCCACCCTACTGCCAGTTACTTGCCCAGTTCTAGCTTTCATGTCTCAGCACTGATGCCCTCTTCCAGGAAGCTCTCCTGAATCCCTAGGCCAGGTCAAGCATCCCTGTGGGGCTTCCGCATCCCAGCCTTGTTCATCTGGTCACTGCTGTGTGGAACTGATTCTTCTCCCCAGCTGGACTCGGGTTCCGGGGGAGGGCTGCAGCTGTCTCAGTCCCTGCTGTCCCTGGCACCCCTAGTGCTCAGCAGTGTTTGCAAAATGACCTGGGATGTGGGCACCAACAGTGAGGGGGCCCCTGCCTTCTGTGTCGTTCCTGGGGGCACAGGGTGAGCCCGCACAGCTGGAGGAGCCGCGAGACAGTCCAGGCCCGTGTCCACTGTCCAGTCCAAAGTGACCTGTTAGCCAAAATATTTTTTTGCTATAGTGTATATGTGCTCACCAGAGAGAGACAAATATATAGAGAAGTGAGAAATTATCCCACTGAGGGGATGGCCATGCTGGAATCCCCTCTCTTCTCTTGGGATTTGGGGCATGCATGCCTACCATGTTTTTCAAGCTACTGGGTCCAGGACTGAACTGCGAAGCTGGCCATGTGGGATCTGACCACCTTAACCTCCTTGCTACCTGCTGGCCACCCCTCCTTCCCGAAAGTTTTAAAAGCATTCACTGCATTGCTTTCTGTATGCCAGGCAGTCTGGGGACCCAGCCCTGTCCTCCCAGGCTCAGTCCTGCTGGCCGTCCTGACACTTCTGCTTCCACCTCCCCTCCAGGTGACCGAATGTCTGACCACAGTGAAGTCAGTCAACAAAACGGACAGTCAAACCCTCCTGGCCACTTTCGGAGTAAGGCACAGACCCGCTGCCATTTCTGCCTTCTCTCGATGCCCCACCCTTCCCCTACTTCTCCCTGCACACCCCCACCCTGCCTGCCTCCCCACAGCTTCCCCTCCTGCCAGGAATATCTTGGGCCCCTCTTCGGCCAGGGCAGGGCAGGGCTTTGTGATGCACCCACCCTGACCCCTCGCTCTTTCCTCAGTCTCTAGAACAACTCATAGCTGCATCGCGGGAAGATCTGGCCTTGTGCCCGGGCCTGGGCCCCCAGAAGGTAAGAGCTCTGAGAAGGCCCTGAAGGGTCAGGGGCAGGGGACCAGCAGTTAGCGTAATGGCTATGTCACTGGATTCCCATGTAGTCGACCGTGGTTCCAGTCCCGGACCCAGTGGCTTAAACTCATGCCGGGCACGTGTGCGTGCGTGCCCAAGATCCCGAGAGGAGAATGGAGGAAAAGGGATTGCGGCGTGGCCATCCCCCGTGGGGGGTGATTTCTTGCTTTCTATCTATCTGTATCTGTCTGTCTGGTGAGTGCACGTGCCCTATAGCAAAAACCTCTCAAAAAAAAAAAAAAAAAGGGTCAGGGGCAGGAGGGATCCCCAAAGTTGCAAGGTTGGAAGGCCCATAGCGCCACCCCTACAGACAGGGAAACCGAGGCCCAGGGTGGGGACCAGCCCAGCCTCACACAGCCAGCCTGGGGAGGAGTCCAGATCAGGCTCCTCCCCTCCTAGCCCTGGAGGAGCCTCCCCTCCGAGCCCACTCAAGCTGGGAGAAAAAGAACCCCGACTCTGGACGCAGCAGACACGGCTGGTTTAATGATGGTTCTGCATTCCCTCCCGCTCCCAGGCCCGGAGGCTGTTCGATGTCCTGCACGAGCCCTTCTTGAAAGTGCCCCGATGACTCCAGCTGCCAAGGAGACCCCAGTATGAAAATAAACGCTTTCCCGGTCTGGCTCCTGTGGGGTGTGCTGGCGCAGTCGCTGGGGAGGGTCCTCACGCCACCTCCCAAGGGGCCAAAAGGGCCACTTTGGCTTTTGCCGAGTGCTGTTTCCCTGGAGGAGACTACACAGGACCCTGCTGCAGCTGCCTCTTCCGCTTCTTCTCCCGTCTCTCTGCGGGAACCACCTCCCCAGACTCCAGGTTCAGCGGTGGCCCCGGCATCTCCTCTTGGGGCGCTGTCTCTGGCACCCTGTTTTCCCGGTCTCGCTTCTTCCTCTTCTTGGTGGAGCCCGGAGCTGCCGTGGCCTCCGACTCAGCCTCCACTCTCTCCCTTGGCGGCTCCGTCACCTCCGTCCCTGGCTCAGTCACTTTTTGTCCCCTTTCTTTCTTCTTGGCAGACACGAAGGCCGCCTGGGGCTCTAGGGCACCCAGCAGCTCAGGCCCCACCACCTCTTTGCCTGGCTCCATCATGGCATCTTGCCACTTTTCTTTCTTCCTCCTTCCAGGGTGCTAGAGTTGCCCCGGCGGGAGGCTCATGGTCCCCGGGCAGCTCAGGAGCCACCGCCCCCCCAGGGAGCTCTGGTGGGGCCACCTCAGGCTCCGGTGCCTCAGTCCCCAGCTCCAGAGTCTCCACTGGCCCCTTTTCCCTTTTTCTCTTCTTTAGGGGGGGCAGTGGGATGGCTTCTTCCTGCGGCTCCACCTTCACCACTGGCTGAGACACAACCGTCACTCCTTCCACTGGCTCTGCCTCTTCCCCCTGCCTTGGCCTCTTCCTCCTCTTGCTGGGGGACAGGACCGTCTCTGTCTCTTCCTGAGGCTCGGCTTTAACCACAGGCTCCGGCTCCCCTGTGTTTCTTTCTGGCTCTGGTGCTCCCACTTCTGGTTCAGCTATGCCTGCCCCTTTGGACTTCTTCCTCCTCTTGGTGGATGGGAGCAGCTCCCATTGGGGCTCTGACATCTCAGCTGCGGGCTCCGTTGCTGCAGGCCCTGTCACCTCTGACCCTTTCAGCTGCTGCTCCATCTTCTTCCTGGCATCCACTTCTGGTGCCCCCAGAGCTGCGTCCACCTCCAGGCCTCCATGCCCATTCACCACCCCCTGAGTCCCTGTGGCCTGTGGCACATGCCTCTTCTTCTTCCTCTTCCCTGAGCTGGGTGACTTCAGTGCAGAGGCCCACCCCGGCCCTGTGATTGGCAGGCTACCTCCGAAGGCACAGAACCGGGGCCTCAGTCCAGGGGGGATCTGTGGTGGGGGGCTTGCTGGGATGGGCTGCAGAGGGGTCCCTGACAGGGACTGTTGGGGACCCTCGATGATCCTCAGGCTGCCCTGGGGGGCCGGGGCACAGGTGAGTCTACCGCCTGCCCCTGCTGAGGGGGCCAGTAGAGTTGCTTCTGCATTCCGGGGGCCACTGCTGCTGAGGACCTGGTAGCGGCGCCGCTTCCCTGCCACCTTGCCTTTCACGACCTGGAGGCCCGAGAGAGGCACAAGCCGCCCGTTGAAGCTGGAAGAAGGGGGAGTGGATTGGTTAGGTCCTTTTGGTGGGACAGAAACAGCGTTTCTGGGTTCCCAGAAACACCCATCTAAGTGTCCCCAGGTTCAGTCTGGGTGGCGGGGGCAATCATCCCAGGCGGTGATGCGGAACCACTCACCAGTCTGGGGCGAAATCTGCAGGGGCCTGGATAAGCCACAGCTCTGTATCTGGGCCGGTCAGCGCCTCCAAAGAGAAACGCGGGGCCTCTGAAGCTGGGGGCGTCGCCGTGAAGTTGGGGGGACAAGAGAACCGAGCAGCACCTACGGGAGAAGGAGAAAAGGGGGTGTGCTTCCCGCAGGTCCAGTCCTCCAGCGCGCCCATCGGTCCATCGGTCCCGACCTCGTGAGCGCTCCAATCCCTTCACCCGGCCTCTCCTCTCTGCCCGCTGGCTCCCCAGGGGCGTCCCCACCTCCACCGATCCAACCCCCGGGGTGCCCTTCCAGACTGCCTCTCGGTCTGGACTGCAGTCTCCCAGGTGGGAAGTACGCTCCCTCCGCAGGTCTTGTGGCCGGGGATGCCCTTTTCCCGCAGGAGCTTTCCTGAGCGCGCCTTTCCTTCCCCATCGGCTCACCCGGCGCACCCGGCCCAGCCGCCCGCTCACCGCCGGCCTGCGTCCGCTCCATCCCGGGGCCCGCGCCGCGAGCGCACGGGGAAGCAGGGCTGCTCTCCGGCACTCACGGCCACGTGGACCGAGAGGGGCGGAGCGTCGTCCGGGAGCGCCCAAGCGGCGCGGGAGCGCGGGGGCTTCGCCCGGCGCCTGCTCGCACGACGGGCAGAACTGGGAGCGCTTTCAAATTGTGCGGAGCGGGCAAGAGAGGACAACGCTTCTCTACTAAAATCTACCGAAAGCAGCGGATTCGCTGTCGTGCCGGAGTCGGAGCCGCCCCAGACCCCGACGAGTCTCCCCCCCAGTTTCTCGGACACGATTTGTTCCTATACCGCCTTAAAGGCGTAGTCACACCGCAGGGCCTGACTCTTAAAGGGGCAGAAGATCGAGCGACAGGTAAGAGCCCTGGTTGGCTGGACTGTGCGTTCAGGGCTACAATCTCTTCTGAGGAGGCTCCGATGCCTCGGAAGTCCGGAACGTAAATGGGAGAGGTGGAAAAAGGCGGGATGAGGGGAATCCCTCCTGTGGGCGTGAAGACCAGCCTGGGGCGGGGCTTCTGGACTCCCGGGACGCGGGAAACGCTGGGGGAGGAGCCTGTGAGTCGGGGGCGGAGCCTCGGCCCGGGAGCGGGACACGCGTGGGGAGGCGTGGACTAAGGGGCGGGGCTCGTGGATCAAATGAGACCTGCAGATGCCCTCGAGGATTTCGGCCTGTGCGTGGGAAACATTCCCGATGGCTTCCAGGAAGGGAGAGGGGGTAGAAGACCTGTTCGGCGACCCTCTCCCTGCCCCGGGGCGCGTGTAAACAACGGCACGTGGACGCAGATTTGAGGGACGCGCCCACATCCCTTCCCACCAGGGCCGCATTGCGTGGGGCGGCGGGCGGAGCCACGGGACGGTGGCTAGACAGGGTGACCAGACAGCATTCCTGGCCGGTGTGTCAGCGCCGCTTCCCTCCCCCCTCTGCCGAGATTTCGGATCCTACTCCAGAACTGGGGCGTCTCCCGTCTCCCCAGGAGGGAGTTGCTTTCCAGAGCAGAGGGAGGGTCAGAGGGAGGGGAAACGCCCTCCGCCCAGGATCTCCAGACAGTTTCCCGCGCGTGGGCGAGAGGCACCGGAGCACCGCCCCGGCGAGCGCAGGGACTACAATTCCCAAAGGCCCCGAGGCGGGGAGGGGCCCGGCGCGGGTCGCAGAGGCTGCTGGGGGTTGTAGTCCAGTCTCCGACTTGGGGCTCCGTTGGTGAGAGAGCCTTTAAAGATCCAGCTTGTCCTTTTTACCGACGGGGAGATTGAGGCTCAGAGACTTGAGAGGCCGACTTAGCGAGGCTCTCTTTTCGCCTTAGGATGGGGCATGTGAGTTTCTCCTGGCCGCTAGTCTTCTACCCCTTTGGTGACATCCACCTCTGTACTCAGGAAAGGGGACAGAGCCTGGAAGAGTGGGATAAGGGCCCAGGAGTCCGTCTCGTGCAGCCACAGCGCGGTGGGAGTCGGTTCCTCTGTACCTCCCTGGCTATGTCGCTTTCGGCCTCTGGGCCTCGCCCTTCTTGTCTGTGAAATGGACTCTGAGTGAATCCAAATGGAGACGTCTGTTTGCGTCCCGCTCTTCGGGGACTACAAATCCCAAGGTGCTCGAGGCTCCCCCTCCTCTCCGGGAGACACCGCCCTCCAGTCGAGTCACGTCGTCTAACCTGTTCCCGGCTCCTGCCCCGCCCCGTCTTCGGCTCCCCGCAGCCGGAGCCGGAGCCGGAGGAAGCCCCCCGGTGCCAGGAACTGCCCCGGATCTGTAAGTTCCACCCTCCTGGGGTCCAGCTGCCCTGGTGGAGCCCGACACTTACATCCCTGGGAGGACTTGGGAGGAGACTTAAACTCCGGGATCCAGGGCGGAATTTGGGGTGCGCAGACTTATGGACCTTAGAAGGAGAAACTCAGATGCCAGATTTGCTGGACGCAAGGGAACGGGGTTTGGGTGCCTGAGTTACTGGTATGGAGGGCTGGGACCCCTTGGTCCCGGGGATACGCCGCAGCTGGGATTCTTGAGTCCTTCTAATTGGGGACTTTGGGGAGCCTGAGTTCTTGCGTACTACTGAGGTCGGGGAATCCTGAGTCTTGGGCAGAAGTGGGAGGCTCGGACTTCTGTGACTCTGGAATGGTGGCCACTCCTGCCGCCCCCTAGCTGGCTTCTTCACCGCGCCTCCAGGTCTCTGGAGGGGTGGGGCAGGAAGAGTAGAACCTGGGTCCTTGAAATGGCACGGGACCAGTAGTAGGGGTCCCTCTGGAAAGTGTCCCCGTGTCCCACC